CCTCTCGCGTGCACGAGCAGCTGGATAGAACAGGTGGAATTTACGCAGCTCATTTACGCACGTTTCCAGAAGATAGAAGAGTTTGTTGAATCTAACGTGACATGTTCGTACGAACCCTTTGTACGAACAAAAGTAAGAGAAATTTAGGAGAAGAATACGAACATGTTCTTGCATGAGGCCCATTGTTCCCAAAAGTTGGCCTTGTTAGAGTTAATCACTGGGCTTAAAGTTCTCCATTGCCACAACAGATTTCCGTCATTTTCAACGTGGCTAGGTTGGATTTCTGTCATCTTTAAAATTTAAAGAAAAAAACAGGTTTTCTTTAGTCCAGTCTAATAATACAGGATTAAACAGACGCTGCTTTCAACAAATCAAACAAATTCCACAGCCACAGTTTTATCCAATCAGAGCAGAGATGGGGAGGTTTTTCATTGAGCCCAGGCACAACAGAGACTTTATATACAGTTTTTGGTTTTACAAAGTTTGCCTGCTCCAGCTGCTTAATGCACTCATTTTTATATCTTAAGCCCCTCCTGTGCATATGTCCACAACTAAATACCTTTTGGAGTCAAAATGATTGAAGATGGTTGCCAATTGACTTAAAACATCACAAAAATATTTTTTAACTCAGTCAATTTATATTGAGCTAAAAATAGATGTGGRTTATAGCTGAGGATTGTTCACAACATGGATTTTGAGCATAACAAACTGCAGCATTACATCAGATTCTGAGTAAAACTATGATAGTTGTCTAAATGTTAGGTTTCGAGGGTACAGAAAGATGTATTCTAATTTTGTTTCACTGCACAGCTTTATTTTTCACTCCCCTGCAGGACTTGGCTAACATCCCATAAATCTATACTACATGCAGTTCTCCATCTCTCGCTCCCATGGGATATTCTGTTGCACCTTTTATTGCCACATGAAAGACAATGCTGTGCTTCTTTTAAAGCTGTAGTTTCTCCTGCTTGTCCTTTTTGGCCTTTGTTAGATCAATGCACGACCTTTTTTCACCCATCAGTTCCGCCTCTTATAGCATCTCACAAAAGACCACATTTGTATGATTCCTGTACCACCTGTTATCAACTCATACAGCTTATGTTTGTACTGCAAATTGTGGTCTACTCAGACCTTGCATTAGGCACTGCAGCACGTTTTGTTTTGCTGTAAACACTTTGCCTGGTCCATCTGTGTTGCCAGTTATTCCATCCTTGAAGAATGTTTTCCACAGAGTTTACTCGGAATTCTCTTAAAAGCCTGGCACTTGTTTGTAACTTAAGCCTCAAAGCCGAAGCGTTACGCTGTGTTTTTGGTTTTATTTGTGTAAAGAGCATGCTGCCACGGTATCACACATTTGTAACTAATCGGCATTCAGAAACATCCGATTATCTTTCTTTTGCACATCGGAATAAAACATTTTCTAATTCTGAACTGATTGGAATGATTTATTTTTTAGTCTTCCTGTCATACTGATAAAATATGCTGAATATAATATGGAGGAAATGGTTAGACCTGGAGAGAAATGGGAGCATTGCTTACCTGATTTAATAATATGCATAAAAAGCCCTGGTGATGGGAATGCCAGTCTAAAGTGTCTCATTAATTCCTCAGCTCAGTGGGCTGTGGACAGACGCTGCAGACTGACAGGGGAAGGGGGAGACTTCATTGGTGTCTCTTTAATGCTTTGAAATGGGAGTAAAGTTCAGCTTTGATGCTTCCCATCACAACGTGGATATGCATTTCCTTCTCTAACCCCCCTATACAGCCAGTCAGTCTAGTGTGAGTACATTAATACTGTAAACTATAGTGACAGACTAAATCACTGAATGTGCCATTAGGCCACAAAGAATTAAACTGCTTTGATTTCCTTTTAGTGTTGGAAAAGACACTGGGACTTGGTGTGACCAAAAAGCAACACCCTTTTTCTAATTTTCACTATTAACAGATTCTAAACCTTAAATAATTATTGCTGCATATTTTAAGAGAGAATTTTTGTCCTAAATTATTAGAACCTGTTCAAATTCTAGCAAATAAACTGTAACTCAAGCAAGGAAACTGAAACTCTCTGAACATTGCAAGAAATTCTGGAAAATCCTTTGAAGAATGCAAGTTTTCCAGCTAGTTGCCAGCAGCTGCAGCCCTTTACAACATGTAAATGCATAGTAACCAGACTGACTATTATTAGCATCTGTTTCCTAATAGAGTTAAACCAGTGTGAGCAATAAATTAATGGGATTTAAGCTTATAAATGTACACATTTAGATTATTATTGAAGCCATAACCATTTTTCATATAGCAGTGATACTAAATTTTGAGGGCAGGCTTACTTAACAGGTCAGCTTTGATGTTTCATTAGATTTTTATATTTTTGTTTTGATGTTTTAAAAGAAGTTGAAGACAGAATCGCTGCTGATGTTTAGTGAAACTTCACTAAAATCACTTTCAACAAGGAGAACATTTTCCRTTGCATTTCTTAATTTTCTTTTATTACAAATATTACCATCAACAAATATTGAAGCCAAAGCCTCCTTACTAAAATTTACAATAAAAAGCAGTAGTTTCATGTTGAAAGTCTGCAAATGGGAGAGAAACGGTCTTCACAGAACCTTGAAAAATTTTGCCTTCCATAAGACAGCCACGTAATAATTCAAAAGGACCATAAATTAAATTTACAATAAATACAATTGTAGTAAACAATATAAATAGAAAAATGAATTTCCGTTGTAAGACATTTCACAGATAAGCTTCAAAGTCAACATAGGTTTAGTCACTGGTATCATTACCAAAGAAGTCAAATCATTATGTCAGAGTTTGGCTGTATGTTGAGGTAAAACTGTTTCAAAAAGCCCTCTGAGCCTATCAAAACAAAGCCTTTTGGATGGTAAACTGATATATGCTTTAAACTGAATGCTATACATATGTTAGACATGTTTGACTCCAGTGATATTTACCCCCAAAAAATGTCTTTATATGGAAAGTCCAGCAATTTTTGAAATTCCTTATGTCCCTGTTGCTGGTCCGTTATACAGCATGAGCTATGATACAATCAAATAGTCTCACCTTAACAGCTCTGTGATTCAAATATAAATAGGAAATTRTTAAAAGTCCTTTACAGTACATTGACATTCAGCGTAAAAATGTACTTACAAAAGGTTATTGAAATTACAAAGTGTAAAAAATAGTTATTTCTGCATTTAAAAAAGTGCCAACTTGAATGAGGCAAATAAAACAATTGACCAACAAATACTGAGAAATGATAAATAGTCTGCAAAGGTTTTTGTGTTGGTGCTTTCATTTTGTATGAATCTGAACCAACATGCTACAAGGTGCCCTTTAATCACCAACAAAACCAGTCTAAAATGAGTTGAGTTGCATTTTTGAGTAGCTTGGGAATGGTTGAACATTCGTAAATGGTAAATACAAAGTTGCTTTGGGAATACTACCGAAGTCCTCACCTTTGTACATTTGTATTTATTTTCACAAACTGACAATTTTGAAAACCCAACAAAGGTGCACCTGATATATGAGTTCAGTACTGAGCATTTAAAGCTGCCCTTTACACAGTAGTGACAGAAAGAAAGGCATTATGTACTTTAGACCCCTCTGGGACTCTCGCCCCGTGGCTCATCAACTCTTGGATGGTCATCCAGTTGTCCAGAATCTTCTTATTTCGTTTTTTCATCATCTTTTTGTGACTAAGCTCTAAGATATTGATCTCCTTCTTGCCCTCAGCTCCACTCACTGGTCCTTCCCTCAGACATTCAAGACGACTCTTTTGCATGAATTCCCTTCTCTTTCTTTGCTCTCTGGCYCGTGCCAAATGCTGCTTCCTCTCCTCTTTGCTCCAGTAGCGACCCATCTTCATCTCACTCATGGCGTCGTCATCTGTGGTCATTCCTCCGCTCCTCTCCTCCCTGATCCGCAGCGCCCGCTCTCTCAGTATGCGGTCACGAGCAGGTCTTCGTGCAACGTACCGTGTCCCGTCAGCACGAACTTTGACTTTCCACTCCAGACGAGGTTCCCCACCACGTCCACTGCGATGCACTGGATCTCGACACACACTGAGGAGACTCAGCTGGCTCTGAGAATACTCCAGTGATGAGTGCTGTTGTAGAAGCTGCATGTAACTCTGCAACACAGAACATTGTTAGCTTTGCTGTTTGTGGATGCACATCAGCATTAGATACATGTTTTGTTTTAGATTTAAACCTACCTGAAGCTGTTTGGATCCTCCTTGACCATGATAGGTGGATGTTTGATATGAAGAACCATAGGGGAGCCCTCTTCTTGAGTCTCTAGTCCTTCCCTTTTTTTCATACCTTTCATCGTCTGCTGGAAGGGCTGGATCCGATTCAGATCTGGAAGGATTACTCTGGTCTGGGCTGCTCGAGATAACTGGACCCGGGTCTGCTGGTCTGCAACATCTAGCTGAATCTTGGGGTATGGGTATGGGGTTAGAAGGGACAGAAGAGGCCATTCTGAGGTTTTTTTGGTTGGTGAGGCTAATGTGTCTCTGCAAAGAGTGGTCAGGAGACCTCTCCATGCCKAGCGGCGTTGATCGAGCACTCTCTGCTGTGTTGTAGGCACTGGAGCTGTCCTTCTCGCGGATTTTATCACTGTCCGATCTTTCCGGGTGTTCGTGGATATCAGCCAATCGGCCATGAYGCCTGTGTCCATCTTTAGGGCTCATTCCCGGGGAGCATGGTGCAGGTTCTGAGTTGTCTAGCTGGTGGGACCGGCAGAGCTGGTGGGCTTGCATGATGCTCTGACATTCTAACTCAATACTACGCAGCTCTTCATTTAGCATTCTCAAATCTTGCTCCACCCCTCCTTCTGCTCCCTCTTCATCATCTCTGTCCMCTCCACCTTTCTCAGTGAGACTACATTCTATGCTGTGGCGAATGGAGTACACCCCACATTCGCCCCCATTCCGAATTTGGCACTTGAGCTCTAAGAGTTGCTGGAAACAGTTCTCTAAACCTAGAACCCCACATCCAGCATTACGAATATTCACTATGCCTTCATTGCCTTGACTTGAAGAATGTGTTCTTGTACCCTGGGTTTCCTGTGGCACAATAACCCTCCGCTTTGTGTGCGGATGTTCTGACCGCCATCGGTCCCTCAGGCATTGGGCTGGGCTCCTCCTGTAAAGTCTGGCCAACAATGGYTGGTGCTCTGGACTGTCCGTACTTCTCCCAAACCCACTGTCTTGATTGTTGGAGGAACAGGTAGCAGTGTCTGTGGTCATGTCTTCTTCACCTTGAAGCTGGTGGAGTGGGTGAGAGTGAGTGAGTTTAATTATGTTGAGACATTTCCTTCAGTTACAAGACATAGGCTTGACGCTTTGTCCAAGATTTGATCACAAATTAAATGAGAAGGAAAATCGAAGAATGTAAATTTAATCAATTTGAGGCAGGTCTACACCTCATGATTTACTCTCAAATCAATGTCCTGTTTCAATTAAGGCTGTTGTATGTCTAGTGCCACTTGTCAAGAGGCTAAAGGTTAGGGTGTTGTGGTGTAGATGGGTATTTTTTGCTCCTTACAGAAAACATGATTTTCCACCCATTTGTATCACATTTTCTCTGTTCTGACAGTGTTTTCTTTCTGACATTCAAGGAGCAGTGTGTAGGCTTGCAAAAGGCCCAATCTAAAGCCAGTGTTTGATTTTTGTCACATCTTCCGCTTTGCTCTTTTTGCAACATTGAAGACAAGGTCTATAGACAATATGAAATAAAAACAGAAGAAGAAGAAGACTTTGCCAATAAAAATAACTTYCGTATCTTGTTGCCAAAGAGTCGTCTTATATGCAACATACTTGAACTGTAATCCAAAGTTGTCAAATGATCAAAAGACAAATCTTTCCAAGAAATACTGTTTAACATGAAAAACAGAATTATGGAAAGCTGCTAAGAAATTTTCTTACACAATAAGCATTATAAAATCACAATTATGA